TCTGATTACATGCATGTAATCAGAGCACTTGGGAGGCTGAGGCAGGAAGATTGTGAGTTTGAGGGCAGCCTAGGCTACATAGTGAGTTCCAGGCCACCCTGGGCTACACAGTAAGGCCCTATCTCACAAACAAACAAACAAACAAAAATCAACCTCCTTTGTTTGGTCCAAGGGAACACTTATCCTATTTTATGGAATGAAGTGTTGCCCAATTCTAGAATTAAAAATAAAGCCAGGGTGGTACTCTCCTATAATCTCAGCACTTGGGAGGTAAAGGCAGGAGGATGGCAAGTTAGAAAGAAGGAAGGAAGGAAGGGAGGAAGGAAGGAAGGAAGGAAGGAATTAAAACCAATCAAGATCTTTACACTGTAATTCTGTGCTTTGATCAGCATTTATTTAGTTTAAGGAACTATTCTGGTGAAAAAGTTTTGGCCGGCTCATCACACTGGAAGACTATTAGTTGAGAGACCAGGCAAGTGATAGAGAAAAAACTGCTACAAAAAGCTAACTGGGGATGGGAGTGTGGCTCAAGTGGTGGAGTGCCTGCCTAGCAAGTACTAGCTCATTAGTTCAAACCCCAGTTCCACCAAAAACCAAATAAGCTGGCTAATCAGAAGATGCCAGCCTGAAGAACAACTTAGCTAAGGACCGCAATCCAAAGGCTTATGTAGGAAATTTAAGGAAGTGCATTTCTATCCTCAGATGGATGGACACTAGAAAAATCATTAGTCCTACAGGGTCCATTGCTTTGGTGCACATTCTGATGCTATCTTTTTCATCAGCTTTCAATACACATCCTTATATCCTCTACCTTCACACGTTACGTTTTACTAGAGACAGGATCTTTACAGCAGTAATAAAGTTAAAATGAGGTGAGAGGAACAGGCCCCAATCCAATATGACTGGAGTCCTTATGAAAAAAGGAGATTCAGACACAGGGACACGCAACTCTGTGGACACACAGCAAGAAGGCAGCCATCTCCACACTGAAGAGGAAAGCCTAATGAGGAAACAACCCTACGAACACCTTGACCTTGGATGTCTCATCTCCAGGACTGTGAGGACATCTATGCCACTTGCTTATGCCTCCCAGTCTGTGGTATTTTGTCATGGCGTCTGGAGCAAGCTAATACACTAGTTCAGTGCTTTCTGCAATCTCATTTGTTATCAGAATTTCAGCCACTGTTGATGTAATCACGTGAGGTCATAGAGCTTTCTTCCCACTGGAACGTCTTCCCTGCATTCTCCTGCTCTTGGTTCCCTGTTCCTTGAGAAGACTTGCTTGCAACCAGCTGCATTCTGGAGTGATGGCTCTTCTCAGCTGGCTCCTGCTCTGTTTCATCTGGTCCTGGGTACTAGCATACCAGCTCCAGCTGTACTCAGGGGCTGAGCGTGAAGAGGTGTTTCTCGTGAGTTTGGTTCACTTTTTATGTAGGTGTGTGTGCATGCATACAAGCCCAGGCTGGTCTTGAACTCCTGGGCTCAAGTAATCTTCCTGCCCCAGCCTCCTGAGTAGCTGGGATTTCATGAGTATGTACCACAACGCCTGGCCTCAACTCTGGAGTTCTTAATTTACGTTTTCAGTTTCATGTCTAGTTGTGACATCAAGAAGCTAAATCAAGCCAGTTATAGTGGTACATGCCTACAATCCCAGCACTCTGGAGCTGAAGCAGGATGATCTGGAGCCCTAGACCAACCTGAGCTACATTGCACAACCCTATCTCAAATAAGTGAATAGACTAACATGCGTTGTCACGTTCCCTGAAGTACTGTATCGTTACATTACCCAAGGTTTCTGCTTCTCCGTGTCCCTATGGGAAACCTGTTGTGCCTATTCCTGGGCTCTGGAATCAGCTTAACTTCATCCAGGTCATGGATCTACCTCTTATCAGCTGAGCTATCAAGTAAGTTCTCTGTGCCTCAGCAGTCCTATCTGTTAAATGGAACTAAATAAGCCTTTACTTCCTTAGATGCCTAAACCTCATTTTCCACCCTTGCCACCACCTCTTGTTTGTCTATGGGCTTTTTGTTTTGTTTTGTTTTGGAGACAGTGTGTACTATTTAGCCCAGCTGGCCTCTTAACTCCTGACCCTCCTACCTCAGCCTCCCCTGTGCTAGGATTACTGGCATGGACCATTTCTCTTTCTGCCTTTACATTCTCCTCCTTCCCCACTCTTTTTCCTCTCCAGAAATGCAGCTACCTCAGATTTCCCCAAACCCCACGCTGGCTGATGGACCTCACACTTTTCCATCCCAAGGGGATGAGCCCGGCTTTGATTGGAAATAGGCTAGCACATTCCATCTGGGCTTCATCAGTCGTGTCTCCTCCCTCCCTCCCTAGGCTTCTAAGAACCCACGTGTCTTGACTTTGAGCCCCAGACTTAGCACAACACTTAGCTGCTTTGTTTTTGCTTCATCACCAGGTTGTGCTCTTTCCCAGAATCTTATTTTGCATTTTGTTGAAAAAAATTGTGACAAATGATGGCAATTCCCTGTGCCCAGGTTGTGAAATAATCCTACTCTGGTGTATTACCCAATTGCCACATCACAGCTGGGTGTGGTGGTACATGCCTGAAATCCCATGGCTGAGGAGGCGGAGGTATGAGGATGGCAAATTGCAGGCCAGCTTGGGCAACATAGCAAAACTCTATCTCAAATGCTACTACTACTACTAATAATAATAACATTAATAAATCCCAGCTCACTGGTGCTTTCATCAGAAGCCTTTGCTGGAATGGATGGGGTGGGTTATTGGTTTTTTTCTGATGTCTGGCTAGAGTAGAGCAGTTATTTCTACAACTGTTCTGTCTTGGCAGGTGGTCTTTTTGCTGGTCCTTTGGTTAAAGAAAGTAGGTTTCTAAGACGGGGTGCAGTTTTGGTCTGTGCTTGATGGTGTCTCCAGATTGTCAGCTTCTAGGAAACTGAGACAAAAAGGAAACCCAGGGAGCCCACACCATGCCAGTCCTTGGGTCCTGGAGTCCCTAGCCAAATTACCACGTTCTGTATACCTTTCAGTCTTCTTGTGCTTTTTTCATATGCAATGCCCAGGATGCTTAGCTGTACTTAGGGAGAGGAAAACTGACAATACCTGCTCCTTTTCCTCAGGAGTTAAACTCTCCCAGGCTCCCGGTCTTTTTTTTTTTTTTGTGGCACTGGGGCTTGAACTCAGGGTTTCGTGAGTGCGAGGCACGCGATCTACCACTTGAGACACTCTGCATCCCTTCCTTTTGGGGGTTATTTTTGAGATATAAAAACAGCCTGAATAAACAGTTCAGAGCCACAGTCCTTCTGTTCTCTGCCTTTTGAGTAGCTAGGATTACAGATGTGAGCCACTGGCACCTGGCTGTGTTAACTTTTTGTATTGTTTTCTTTTGTTTTTGCAGTACTGAGACTTGAACTCAGGGCTTCACACTAGTTAGGCAAGCACTTGAGCCACTGCACAAGTTCTTTTTTTTGTGTTGAGATAGGGTCTTGCTTTCATTTTGCCTGGACTGCCTTGAACCACAATCCTTCTGATCTCTGCCTTCTGTGCCGCTAAATTACAGGCATGAGCCACCAGCACCCAGCTGTATTTGTTATTTTTGAGAAAGAATCTCACTTTTTCCCCAAGCTGGCCTGGATCACAATCTTCCTATTTGTGCTGCCCTGCATTACTGGGATGACAGGTGTTGGCCACTGCATCCAGCCATTGGTTGAGATGAGGGTCTCCTGAACATTTTGCTTGGGTTGGCCTTGAACATCGATCTTCCTGATCTCTGCCTCCAGAGTAGCTAGGATCATAGGCTTGAGCCACCATGCCTGGTCTTTGTTTTCTTCTTTGCTTTTATTTTACTTTATTTCTTGCAGTGCTGGGATTTGAACTCAAGGCTTTGTGCTTGCTAGGCAAGCAAGTATCTCTACCTCTTGAGCCAACCCTCCAACCCTGAAAATAAAAATTTTCACCCACTCTTCAATATAGCTAAGTCTATGTCATGAAAGTTTGGTTTTCTGGAAGTAAATAGTGGTTTTCAAACTTTCTTTTTATCATACTGCTAAACAATGAGTTCTGTGATGTTATAACACAATGTAAAACAACAGTGAGTCACAGCGTCACAGACATTTGGAAGAGGCTAGCATTGCTGGCATGTTTCCATGCCTTTTCCATGTTCTTTACATGTGGGCCATGAAATGATATTTCCTTCCCACTGTGTAATTAGAATGTGTTTGGCTATGGGCTGCACATAGTGGTACACACCTGTAATTCCAGTTAGTTAGGAGGCAGAGAGCAAGAGGATAGAGACCAGCTTGGGCAAAAAGTTGGTGAAGCCAGTGGCTCATGCCTGGCCTCACTCGTATATCCTAGCTACTCAGGAGGCAGAGATCAGGAGTCAAAAAATATGCAAGAAAAAACATGGCTGGAGGAATGGCTCAAGTGGTAGAGTATCTGCCTAGCAAGTGTAAGGCCTGGAGTTCAAACCCTAGTACCACACACACACATAAAAAAAAATTAGTAAGACCCCATCTTAACCAATCCATGTCTGCATTCCCAGCTACAAGTGAGATGTAGGTGAGAGGATCACAGTCTAAGGTTGAGCCTGGGCAAAACTCAAGAACCTATCTGAAAAATAACTAAGGCAAAAAAGGGGTGGGGGTTAGGGGTGCAGCTCAAATGGTAGGGTGCTTGGCAAACATAAGTTCAAATTCCAGTATTGCAAAAACAGGAAAAAAAAAAAGATGTGTTTAGCTAAGAGTAACAGGAACTATGATGGATAGTGGTTTTAAATATAATGACTTTCCTGTTTTACTTAATAAAAGCCCAAAAAAAGCAAGTGCTGGGCAGGTCTGGAAGCTTAACTCCATCACCCAGGACCCAGGGACTTTCCACCCTTGACTCAGCATTCCCTGTAGCCTGCTTCACTTTTCTAATTTCCTGCCTTAAGGTTACTGAAAGGCTTCTGGGGATGTGATGTGGATGTCAGCACCAAGCCTCTCCAAGCCTATTAAAACACAAGAACAGAGCTGGCAGAGTAGCTCAAGTGGTAGAGCGCTTGCCTAGCAAGCATGAAGCCCTGAGTTCGAATCCCAGTACTGCCAAAAACAAACAAGAATGAAACTCTGGCACAGTGGCATACACCTCTAATACCAGGTAGAGACTGGAGGATGGGAGAATTCAAGGCCAACCTGAGCTACATAGTAAGACCCTGCCTTAAAAGGAAAAGGGCTGGTGGGGTCCTCAAGTGGTGGAGAGCACCTGCTTAGCAAGTGTGAGGCCCTGAATTCAAACCCCAGTACCACAAAAAAAAACCAACCAAACAAACAAACAAAATAAACCCAAGAAGGAAGAGTGAGGAAAAACACTTTCTCTTCAAGTGCCTCTCTTATGAGAAAAGGAAATCTTTCTCAGAAGCCAGGGAGGTTTCCTCTGTCCCAGCCAAAGCTGTTCAACTCTGTCACGTAGAGGAAGGCCCCCTGGAGCCTTTACTCCTGTGCAGGAAATGTTTCTCTTTTCCCCACTTCTTTCTACTTTATTCTATTATGCCAAATTTCCACCTTGCGAGACTCTCCTTGTGAGGCACCTTGAAATGCTTTTCATGTATGAACTCCAAGCACCTATGACTGCATGGCAGAAAATTGGCAAGCCTGAGCCAGGAATTCAGTCTCACAAGTATGGAAAATGTTTAGCTTTGGAACTTTTCTCTCTGAATCTTTCAGCCATGGTGGTGGGGGGGGGGGGATGTTTCTTTCATCTCTCCTACTTCACAGCCTGTCCTGACTCCTTTTCTACCCAATTGAGGACAACAGAGGGAAAGATGGATTAAGGTGGCAGGGGAGAAATTCTGCTCCAGCCAATCCTGGCACTAGCTGGTTTTCTCAGCCTCCTGAGTAAGTAACTAATACAATCAGTGGATTAAAAACATAAAATTGCTGAATGTCAGCGGCTCACACCTGTAATCCTAACTATCTTTGGAGGCTGACTCCAGGGCAGTGGGACAGATTAGTTCTCGCAACTCCTACCTCCAGAATACCCAGAGCAAAAAATGGACTGGAGGTGTGGCTCAAGTTGTAGACTGCCGGCAAGGTCCTGAGTTCAAACTCCAATCCCACCAAAAAATAAACTAAAATCAATTGGGACTCTAAATGGCGTGTACCTGAGGCCTGGAGCGGTTTCTCTGTCCCACCTCTCAAGGTTTTTTCCACTTTCTGCTCCAGTTTTCACTTTTTAAGTCTTGCTTTGGAGATGAGCTGTTTTTCCCTTTGCAGACGTACCAAGACCTGGGGAGGCAACAGATCATGTCCAAGTAGCCTCGGATGTTGGCCCAGGCCAGCCTGTTCTCTCTCAGGGCCAAGGCACCACATGGTCATGGGTGTGAACCCATGCCCTCCACCCTCCCATGCCATGATTTAGCTCATGCTTGTCACCTGCCCTGTGGCTCGTGCTTCGGCCGCCAGTGGGACCTCACACCTATGCCGGGGTGGCCGTCTGCAAAGGTGCACATGGCCCGGGGACTAAGAGAAAATCACAATTTCCCTGTCCAATTTTTCCAAGATAGGGTCTCTCAACTGTTTGCCTGGGCTGGCTTTGAACCACAATCCTCCTGATCTCTGCCTCCTGAATACATAGGATTACAGGCGTGACCACTGGTGCCGTACTAAAAAAAAAAAAAAAAAAAGATCAGGACACATAAACATATGACTTGACATACTGCATTTCAGATCGGACATATTTTCTCTCTCTTTCTCTGAACCTCCTTTTCAACTGTAAATATGCACAGAGTGATCCATCATCTTACCCCAGGGACGCCCAAACCTCTCCCCACTTTCTGGTTATTTGCAATCCATTCGGAACAACTCAAAGCTTTTCCATCTCACAGGTTATAGCAGTAAATGCCTTGAAACACAGTGTCCCACCCTTCTTTTCCTGCTTCCATCCCACCTGGCAAGATGGCACCACCACTCACTGCTTTTGTGATGCCTTTTCTTTACCTTTTGATACACTCTATTACCTCCCTTACAACATACATCCACATGTCTTGCTGTTGCTTCTAAGCCAGACACAAAGAATTTGGAGATCTTCTAATCAGAGACTACAGGAGCCTAGAGCATTTAAACTGGTCCTTCAACTACTATTATAAAGTTAATGTGATATTCCATATTAACTAAAAAGCAGCCATTAAAGAGGTAACTTTCAAACACTTGGAATGAAAGTAAAAAGATCGTTTTAAAATGAAGCTGTCTGCAATTTTTAAACCTGTTGAAATCACCATAAGAAGGAGACTAAAATAGAAAGGAGAAAAATAGAGAGGATGAACCAATTCAGGTTATAATACATATATACATGGAAATGTCACAATGAAACACCTTGCATAGCTATTTTAAACAAAAAAAAAAAATGTCTTTTTTTTTTTCAAAAACAGAACAGGGAGGCAAAACAGGTCCTGACTGGGGTTGGTATCAGTGGGAGGGGGAGGATATAAGGAAAGTGTGCAGGAGGGTGAATGTAGTGAAAATATTATGTTCTTATGTAGTAAATGGAAAAATGAGACTTGTTGAAACTTCCAGGAATGGGGGGAAGGAGGATAAAGGATGATGATGGAGGGGGTGAATTCAACTATGATGTAGTATAAGAACTTTTGTAAAGGTCACAATGTACCCCCTGTATAAAATAATATGATAATTTAAAAATCCCATAAAAATATATAAAATGAAGCTGTCTAAACCTGCCTAACTAGACATGGACATTATAATTGTAATTTGTTTCATTCCACCATAATTCTAATTTGGATTCTACTCTCTTAAAATATATTTGGGTCAATTAATAAATATATTTAAATTGTTATTGTATAAAGAAATTAGTTAAAATTGCTTCCTTCCTGGGTCTTCATTTAAATATAAGACCACTAAAAAGAGTACTTAATTTTATTGGGAAAAAAACCAATTTTATTTAAATTTTTAAAAATTCAAGAAAGTATTTCAATGCAAATTATAAGGAATCAGAAGTAGGAAAGATATACAAATGTATTGGGGGTATGTTTTTATAAAAGAAAGTTAGAGGGGGAAGAAAATTGTTTTAGATTAGGAATGATTTTGTACATGTAAGGTTTGTCCTAAAGGATTGCTCCTAATTGGAAAAAGCCTAGGGACGGAAACCCCAGAATGTTCAAGAAAGTAACAAAATGTATGAGTAGGTCTTAAGTATATAAAAGATGAAGCATATGGAAAGCTGACGTGTGTGATTAATATGGCCATAATTTAAGAGTTAGCTAAAGTTTTTTCTAAGGTCAAAAATTAATGAACTTATAAGGAGGCAAAGATCAGGAGGATCATGGTTCGAGGACAGTCCAGGCAAAAAGAAAGTGGGACCCAATCTCAAAAAAAAAATACCCAACAAACAAAAAGGGCTCAAGTGGTAAAGTACCTGCTTAGCAAGCCTGAGGCCTTAAGTTCAAACTCCAGTACTGAAAAAAAAAAATAATGAAAAATAGAACCAGTATCTAATTCTATCTTTAAAATGTTCTGCTCTTAGTAATATTTGCTTAAAACTAGTTTAAAGGGGAGATTTTATGTCTTATCAAGATAGTTGCTTGTTTACTGCTAATTTCATCAGACTTTGACTATTTAGGAAACTTAGTCTTAACTAAATCAAAGTTCATTAAGTATCTGTTTATGTAAATCTTATGTTAAGTGATTTTAATACACTTAGCCCCCTGCTAGAAATGCGTGGGCCATGTGTCTAAACTTTATTTAAATGCTACACAAAGTTTACAGGGCTAGAGGTATAAAAATGTAATGCAAGTAACCAGCAAGTGATTTCTTGTGTACAATAAACTGAGCACGTCTATTTGGGGTCATTGCCACTAAGCCCTTAAACTTGTAAGAGGTCCAAAAGCTTTGATTTTTTTTTTTTTGGCAGTGCTGCAATCTATTATCTTATAACCAAAGATAACCTATTACCTTACCTAACCAAAGATACTAAATTTTACTACAAAAGTAAAGGCTAAATCAATACATGTATATCTGTGTAGTTATAATGATAGTTGCTGTTACCTTTTTAAAAATGTTAAATGTATTTATGTTCTCTAAGTATATAAGTTTTCTAAGATGTATATTTAATTAAAAGGATGGATACTGGTCACCCACAAAGTGGATCAGTAATAAATAATTGTACTTTATTTTAAAATCATCTATTTTAAAAGGAAAATTAAATACAAATATATATAGTAATCTATAATTGGCAAGATATATGTTTATATACATATATATGCATGCTATGTCATTCCTTACACTAAAATAAGAGTTTAAGTATATATTTAAAGAATAATAAAGAGAGCTTAGTAATATTAACTAATGCTCTCAATCACAATTATTACCCTAAAATGCCATGTGTAATGGAAATAACTGAAGTGTTTTATCAATTAGTAAACATTTACGATTCTAACAATAACTATCCTGTTTTTGTCATCGGCAGTTTGGATCCTTATTTAAGGCATTTACAATCAAACTTATAGAAAACATCCTCAACTAGTATTTATTTTTCAAACATCTGTTTCTTTAAATATTTGCTTTCATAAGTTTTGCTTTGTGAGGGGGATAAACAGCAGAAATGGCTCTGGGAATACATAGGAACAAATGGTACAAGTAACTTTGACTTAGATAAAGGAGATGGGAAGGCATCCTTTAAAAGCAAACATCTAAGGAGACCTGAGAGCAGCTTCTCACCCAGATAATAAAGAACGGTGGTATTTCTCCTATAAAGGGAGACAAAGAAACATTCTTAAAGACAAACATCTAAAGAGATGAAACATAGACCCCGTAATTAAGATGGCACAGCTAACCTTCCCAAGATAAACAAAAAGGGGATCTCACCAAAATAGTGAGCAGTGGTCATAAAATGTACATGACAGATCTCAAGAACAGGATGGACTAACAAGGCCCTCCTGAAATGCCCAGTTTAGTAAGGGTGGGGTCAACAAGAAGTTAATTAGACAGCCAATTATAGATGCGGCTTCAAAGTAAAGTAGGGGGTGCCTAAGTCAGGCCGAGTCTTATATCATCTCCTAGACTGCAGCCATTCTTTGGCTTAGCTATTTCACTAA